CAACAACAACAACAATAACACCAACAACAACACCAACAACAACAACAATAACAACAACAGCAACAGCAACAGCAACAGCAACAACAACAACAACAACAACAACATGTTCAACACCCACTCGGCAACCACGAAAACAAGCATCTGAGATCGCGTCTGGTCGCCTGGGCCACGTCATATTGACGAGTCACACGCTGCAGCACCTGAACAGCCGTGAACCCGTTCCCCGCAGGTTCAGAACGGAGCATGTTTAAACCAGGTGGTGCTCGCCCAGCCGCCGCTTCGGCGGAAGAGCGCACGCGGGCCGCAAGGCCAGCGCAAAACAACAACAACAACAACAACAACAACAACAACAACAACAACAACAACAACAACAACAACAACAATTACTAGCACGTGGGGACACTCCGTTCTCACCAGTGCCAGGGTTTTCATAGGAGGCGGGCAATACCCCCACTTTGTGGGGGGGCCGGTTCAAGCTCTACCAAATTTCCAAACGACTCTTCGCCACCACCCACACCCAGCTTCCCGCCCTATGACGTTCGGACACTTCACTTCGTGGCATGCGGACGACCGTGGCTACTATTCAGGGCCCCGCGGCCGACGACGACGGCGTGCGCGCGCGAAGAAAAAACGAATGTGTCCCGCATGGTATTATTTGACAGGGATGATGGCCCTGGCAGGTGCGCAACCGTTGTTGCAGAAGTTCGAAAAAGTTGCTCGCAAAAGCCCGTTTGACAGAAATGTTTAAAAAGTGTTGGGTTTCCTACGAATCCGCAAGAGCGCGCGGGATGAAATTTTGACATTTTTTTGTTGAAAAACCATTGGTTTTTTGATGTTTTTATGTTAAAATCGCTACGAACACTAAGGTTTTGGAAGGATTTCGTCTTGCGCGCGCGAATGTCCACTTTACCTTATTTTTTGCAAGGGATTCTTGAAGTTTGGTTATGTTAGAACAAGAAATGTCCACTTTACCTTATTTTTTTTGCAAGGGAAAACCGCCCGTAACAAAACAACCGGATCCGGACCAACCCGTTTTGCCTGAGACTTCCTCACGAAAATGATGAAAACGTGGCTGCGGCCTAGGCGCGGCGGGGGGGCCGCGCACCAAGGGCCCCAACAATAATTATTCTTTAGAAGCAATAATGTTCAACAACAACAACAACAACAATTACTAGCACGTGGGGACACACCGTTCTCACCAGTGCCAGGGTTTTCATAGGAGGCGGGCAATACCCCCACTTTGTGGGGGGGCCGGTTCAAGCTCTACCAAATTTCCAAACGACTCTTCGCCACCACCCACACCCAGCTTCCCGCCCTATGACGTTCGGACACTTCACTTCGTGGCATGCGGACGACCGTGGCTACTATTCAGGGCCCCGCGGCCGACGACGACGGCGTGCGCGCGCGAAGAAAAAACGAATGTGTCCCGCATGGTATTATTTGACAGGGATGATGGCCCTGGCAGGTGCGCAACCGTTGTTGCAGAAGTTCGAAAAAGTTGCTCGCAAAAGCCCGTTTGACAGAAATGATTAAAAAGTGTTGGGTTTCCTACGAATCCGCAAGAGCGCGCGGGATGAAATTTTGACATTTTTTTTGTTTGAAAAACCATTGGTTTTTTGATGTTTTTATGTTAAAATCGCTACGAAAACTAAGGTTTTGGAAGGATTTCGTCTTGCGCGCGCGAATGTCCACTTTACCTTATCTGTTGCAAGGGATTCTTGAAGTTTGGTTATGTTAGAACAAGAAATGTCCACTTTAGCTTATTTTTTGCAAGGGAAAACCGATCGTAACAACACAACCGGATCCGGACCAACCCGTTTTGCCTGAGACTTCCTCACGAAAATGATGAAAATGAGGCTGCGGCCTCGGCGCGGCGGGGGGGTCGTGCACCAGGGGCCCCAACAATAATTATTCTTTAGAAGTAATAATGTTCAACAACAACAGCAGCAGCAGCAGCAGCAGCAGCAGCAGCAGCCGCAACAGCAGCCACAACAACAACAGCAACAGCAGCAGCAGCAGCAACAATTACAACAACAACAACAACAACAACAACAACAACAACAACAACAACAGGAACACCAGCAGCAGCAGCAGCAACAGCAAACACAAAAAAACAAACAAACAAACAATCCACAATTAGCTATACGCAAAGAAAGGAGGGGGGAGGTGGGGAGGGATGAAGCAGAGATCGGGGGGGAAGAGAGGGACAGATGGAGAGATGGAGGGAGGTGGGAAGAAGAGGGAGAAGAGAAGGGGGGAAACCGGAGGTGCGGAAGAGACGAGGGAGGGAGGCTGGGAGGAGGGGAGGGGAGAAGGAGCGAAAAGCGGTGGGGGGCGGCATAGAACGAGAGGGGGTCGAGCAGAAGCGCCGCCGGCCTTCAGCTCCATCTCCTGGGCCCCCGTGGCGTCCAGGCGCTTGCCTCGGAGGGCCGCTGCGACGGTCCTCCAGGCGGAGGAAGGGGGGGGACCGGGAGAGGGGTGCATAGCGTCGGAACGAACGAAATGGGAACGGAAAGAACGGGTACGATGCCCAACAGAAGCTCCTGCTCATTTTGAACAGCACCCAATTTCCGCGCCGCCGCGGACGTTGTTCTCTGAAGACAAGAAGCCGCCTGCCAAACAGTGGCCTCTGTCGCTTTTGAACAACATTTATTGTTGGACATTGTACCCATGTTTTCCGTACCCACCTCGGGCATCCAAAGAGCAGGAGGAGGAGGAGAAGTAAGACGAAGCCAGGACAGGGATACGATCGGGTGGGGATGAATCGGGCATCTCTGTGATCCGGCGGCTCTGGAGGATGTCTCGGGCGCAGCGGCCTTCTCAGAGCGCTCTGAAAGCGTTCTGGAACGCTCTAGAACAGATATATCCTCGTCCTAGCCCCGTCCGAAGAAGGGAGAGTAGGAGGAGGAGGAGGAGGAGGAGGAGGAGGAAGCGAAGGAGAGGTCCAGGACAGAGCCAAGATGGAAAGGAAGCAGGCGAGAGGGAGAGGAGAGGGAGGAGGAGAAAAGAGGAGGAAGAGGTTAGAGGAGAAACGCTGGCCCAAGATGCGCTGTCCGCTTAGGGGACAAGTGAAGCTGGGCTGCAGCGCCATGCGCGGGGGGCGTACTACGCAACAATGTCTCAGCGTAACCATAGACCCCATACAACCCTCCTGCAGGCGAACTTGCGACATTTCGGAACAGTGTGGACCAGCACATACAGACACAGCCAAGTGCAAGGAGATGATGTACAGTTTAGGGAGTTTGATAGTATCCTTTCATGAACCACTTTGAGCGTGTTGGCAAGAGACGCTGCGAACGCGCTGCTCGGGGATTAATTACCTGGCGCTGCGCGGGGGGTGGGGCCGGCGTCCGCCGCGCCGCTTGGGCTCGAGCTTGTGCGCACGCCTGAGCACTCGGGTTTAGGAGGAGGAGGAGGAGGAGGAGGAGGAGGAGGAGGAGGAGGAGGAGGGGAGGAGGGGGAGGAGGAGGAGGAGGGGGAGGAGGAGGAGGAGGAGGAGCAGGAGGAGGAGGAGGAGGAGGAGGAGGAAGGGGAGGGGGAAGAGGGGGAGGAGGACCGCGGCGCTCAGACCCTGCGGAGCGGGGTGCAGGGATCTCGATATGTTTGCGCGGAAGGTGACATTCATCGGCGGGGGAAAACAACAACAACAACAACAACCATTTTAAGGCTGTACGCTCTTACTTGCCCGCGAGTCATTCAACACGTATACCCTACACCCTCGATACCCGCCCTCTTCGTCTTCGATCACACCCCTTTCGGGGGGATTATTTCTCTTTGCTGGGGCCGGCGGGCTTAGACGTACGGGCAAACCGGAACGGGCGGACAATCCTTCGGGGGCGTACATCTCTCTGCCCGCCATTGGAATTGGCGCGGGCCCTGCAAGAGGAGGAGGGGAAGAACGAGGGAGAGTGGGAGGAAGGGGAGGGGGAAGGACGAAGGAAGAGGGAAGATACCACGTTGTGAAGGCGTCCTTGGCGCGTGCGTGGTTCCTGAGCGCCGAAACGCAATTCCATAATAATTTGTGAGGACGTCGCACGCGAGAGCGCAGTCCTGAGTACATTGTGAGGAAATCTCAGGCGGAAGCGGGGGCCCTGACTAAGTTGCGAGGAAGTCTCAAGCGGGAGCGCCGTTCCTGAGCAAATTGCACGGAAGTCTCAGGCGGGAGCGGGGGTCCTCACTAAATTGCGAGGAAGTCTCAGGCGGGAGCGCCGTTCCTGAGTCAATTGCGCGGAAATGTCAGGCAGGAGCGGGGGTCCTGAGTAAAATTCGAAGAAGTCTCACGCGGGAGCGCCGTTCCCACGTAAATTGCACGGAAGTCTCAGGCGGGAGCGGGGGTCTTGATTACATTGCGAGGAAGTCTCAGACGGGAGCGCCTTTCCTGAGTAAATTGCGCGGAAGTCTCAGGCGGGAGCGGGGGTCCTGAGTAAAAATCGAGGAAGTCTCAGGCGGGAGCCGTTGTTGTTGTAGCCCGGGGGGCAGGGGCACAGTTTGAGCAGGAAGACTTTCCTTGAGAAAAAACAAGGTGCGAGCCCCGGGGGTGGCACTTCAATCGAAAAAAATCAATGTGCACCGGTGGGGGGGGATCAACAATAATTATTCTTCAAGAATGAGAGTTCAACAACAACAACAACAACAACAACAACAAACGGCGCATACCCTCTCCCTCAGAGGCCCCAGAGACGGCCGAAGAGGGTCCCGAGTCGTCGAAGGATCGGTCCAAGACGCCCCCAGGACGCCCCCAAGACGCCCCAGGAGGCTTCCAAGAGGCCTCCTCAGAGGGCCCCAAGAGGCAATGATTTTCCTATAGTTGTTGATCGATGTTCGCGTTCTTGCTTTTTCGGCTTCCCGACGCTCCAGGACGACCCAAGAGGCGTTAAAGACGGCCCAACATGCCTCAAAGAGGGTCTCATGAAGACCTCAAAATAGCCTCACGACAGTCCAAGAAGTCTACAAGACGGCCCAATCGACCCCCAAACGTCTCCAAAAGGGGGCCCAGAAGGGAAACCTACCTGACATTTGGAGCACTCGGCCCCAAGAGACCCCGAGGCGGCCCGAAGAGGCCCTCGAGAGGCGCCAAAGAGGCCACAAGACGCCCCAAAGAGGCCCAAATCAGGTTCCGCGAAGACCCAACCTCAAGACACCCCCAAAACAACCTTCAAGAAGCATCGGAGAGGCCTCCCAAGAGATCCCCACAGGCATCCAGGAGGCCTGTGACCTACAACCCAGGCACGGTGGCGGGATGAGCCGAAGGCAACTAGATCCGCCGCCCCCTGCTTGCAGGGGTGCACGGCGTGCTGGACGAGCTGTTAGGTTTTGGTTTTGGTTCTTTTTCCAAAAGAACTCCCCAGTGGGCTCCGGCAGAACCCGCCAGCCACCCGGAAGGGTGCTCAACGACCGGAAAAAATCCTCCAAAAACGGCCGTTTCGCTCGGGACATCCTCAAAAAATCGCGAAGATGGCCCAAGATGGGCTCCAAGTCCGCCCGAGATGGTCCAAGACGGCCTCCAAAACGGCCCAAGAGAGTCCAAGACGGCCCAAGACGGCCCAAGAGGCCCCCCAGAGGCCTCCCAGACGGCCCAAGAGGCCTCCAAGAGGTCCTCCAGGAGAGTCCGAAGAGGCCAAAATCATTGATTTTCCTTGGTTTTTGAAGGATTTTGGCATTTGCGCCTTTTCGGCTCTCCGACGGCTCAAGACGGCCCAAGAAGCCCCCAAGATCGCCCAAGAGGCCCCCAAGAGAGCCCCCTGATGGCCCAAGTGGCCTCCAAGATGGCCCCTAGAGGGCCCCAAGACGGCCCAAGAGGCCTCCAACACGCCCAAGATGGCCTCCAAGACGCCCAAGATGGCCTCCAAGACGGCCCTGGAGCGCCCCAAGAGGGTCCCCCGTTGGCCCAGAAAGGCCCCCAAAACGGCTCCCGACGGCGTCAGACGTGCCAGGAACCCACCAAGATGGCCGAAGTTGGCTCGAAGCTGGCCCAAAAGGGCCCAAGAGGCCCCCAAGAGGGCCTCCAGGAAGGCCAAAAGATGCCAAAATCAATGATTTTCCCAAGGTTTTTGATGGATTTGGGCATTTCCCATTTTTCGGCCTTCCGACGGCCCGAGACGGCCCAAGAGCCCCCAAAGATCGCCGAAAGATCGCCCAAGAGGCCTCCAAGACGGCGACGATGACCATCAAGACGCCCACGTGTTCCCCGAAGGCTTTCCAAACCGATTCGGGGAACACATGGTCCGATGGCTTGGCAGGTCTGGCCTCAACGTTCGGCCACATACGCGCCTCCACAAAGGCAGGGGGCGGCGGTGATTCGCCGTAGGCGTCTTCGATCCGCCGCCCCCTGCTTGCAGGGGTGCACGGCGTGCTGGATGAGCTGTTCAGGTTTTGGTTTTGGTTCTTTTTCCAAAAGAACTCCCCAGTGGGCTCCGGCAGAACCCGCCGGCCACCCGGAAGGTGCTCAACGACCGGAAAAAATCCTCCAAAAACGGCCGTTTCGCTCGGGACATCCTCAAAAAATCGCGAAGATGGCCCAAGATGGCCTCCAAGTCCGCCCGAGATGGTCCAAGACGGCCTCCAAAACGGCCCAAGAGAGTCCAAGACGGCCCAAGACGGCCCAAGAGGCCCCCCAGAGGCCTCCCAGACGGCCCAAGAGGCCTCCAAGAGGTCCTCCAGGAGAGTCCGAAGAGGCCAAAATCATTGATTTTTCCTTGGTTTTTGAAGGATTCTGGCATTTGCGCCTTTTCGGCTCTCCGACGGCTCGAGACGGCCCAAGAAGCCCCCAAGATCGCCCAAGAGGCCCCCAAGAGAGCCCCATGATGGCCCAAGTGGCCTCCAAGATGGCCCCTAGAGGGCCCCAAGAGGGCCCAAGAGGCCTCCAACACGCCCAAGATGGCCTCCCAGACGCCCAAGATGGCCTCCAAGACGGCCCTGGAGCATTCCAAGCGGGCCCCAAGTCGGCCCATAGAGGCCCCCCAAACGGCTTCCGACGGCTTCAGACGTGCCAGGAACCCACCAAGATGGCCGAAGTTGGCTCGAAGCTGGCCCGAGACGGCCCAAAAAGCCCCAAAGATCGCCCAAAGCTTGCCCAAGAGGCCTCCAAGACGGCCAAGATGACCTTCAAGATGCCCACGTGTTCCCCGAAGGCTTTCCAAACCGATTCGGGGAACACGTGGTCCGATAGCTTGGCAGGTCTGGCCTCAACGTTCGGCCACATAGGCGCTTCCAAAAAGGCAGGGGGCGGCGGTGATTCGCCGTAGGCGTCTTCGATCCGCCGCCCCCTGCTTGCAGGGGTGCACGGCGTGCTGGATGATTCAGGTTTTGTTTTGGTTCTTTTTCTAAAAGAACTCCCCAGTGGGCTTCGGCCCGTCCCGCCGGCCACCCGCAAATTTCGGAAAACCCATCCCTCAATGCCCAAAAACGGCCGTTTCGCTCGGGACATCCTCAAAAAATCGCGAAGATGGCCCAAGATGGCCTCCAAGTCCGCCCGAGATGGTCCAAGACGGCCTCCAAAACGGCCCAAGAGAGTCCAAGACGGCCCAAGACGGCCCAAGAGGCCCCCCAGAGGCCTCCCAGACGGCCCAAGAGGCCTCCAAGAGGTCCTCCAGGAGAGTCCGAAGAGGCCAAAATCATTGATTTTCCCTTGGTTTTTGAAGGATTTTGGCATTTGCGCCTTTTCGGCTCTCCGACGGCTCAAGACGGCCCAAGAAGCCCCCAAGATCGCCCAAGAGGCCCCCAAGAGAGCCCCATGATGGCCCAAGTGGCCTCCAAGATGGCCCCTAGAGGGCCCCAAGAGGGCCCAAGAGGCCTCCAACACGCCCAAGATGGCCTCCCAGACGCCCAAGATGGCCTCCAAGACGGCCCTGGAGCATTCCAAGCGGGCCCCAAGTCGGCCCATAGAGGCCCCCCAAACGGCTTCCGACGGCTTCAGACGTGCCAGGAACCCACCAAGATGGCCGAAGTTGGCTCGAAGCTGGCCCGAGACGGCCCAAAAAGCCCCAAAGATCGCCCAAAGCTTGCCCAAGAGGCCTCCAAGACGGCCAAGATGACCTTCAAGATGCCCACGTGTTCCCCGAAGGCTTTCCAAACCGATTCGGGGAACACGTGGTCCGATAGCTTGGCAGGTCTGGCCTCCACGTTCGGCCACATAGGCGCTACCAAAAATGCAGGGGGCGGCGGTGATTCGCCGTAGGCGTCTTCGATCCGCCGCCCCCTGTTAATTCATCACAGGGGTGCCCGGCGTGCTGAATCCTTTCGCTTTTGGTGTTGGTTCTTGTGCCAAGAGAACTCTCCCTGGGGCTTCGGCCCGTCCCGCCGGCCACCCAACGTCAAAAATTATCCCGGCAAAGCAACCGAACAGCGATGTGTAGAAGCATATCTGAAAGCATTCCCCTTAAGATTCAGACGAAAATCCAGTTGTCGAATTCTGCTGTTCTCGCAGTCGTAGTAGCATTCGCGATGACAGTCGCAGCGGCAACGGCAGTCGCAGTCACAGCCTCAGCCTCAGCCTGCCTCCTCCTCCTCCTGCTCTTTCTCCTGCCTCCTCCTCCTCCTCCTCCTCCTCCTCTTCCTCCTGCTCGTCCTCGTTCTCGTCCTCCTCGTCTTGCTCGTCCTCCTCCTCCTGGTGCTCTCTCCTCCTCCTCCTCCTCCTCCTCCTCCTCCTCCTCCTCCTCCTCCTGGTGGTCCTCGTTCTCCTCCTCCTGGTGCTCTCCCCCCCCCTCCTCCTCCTCGTCCTCCTCCTCCTCCTCCTCGTCCTCCTCCTCCTCTTCCTCCTCCTCCTCCTCCTCCTCCTCCTCCTCCTGGTAGTCCTCCCCCTCCCCTCCTCCTCCTCCTCATCCTCCTCTTCCTGGTCGTCCTCGTTCTCGTCCTCCTCGTCTTGCTCGTCCTCCTCCTCCTGGTGTTCTCTCCTCCTCCTCCTCCTCCTCCTCCTCCTCCTCCTCCTCCTCCTCCTCCTCCTGGTGGTCCTCGTTCTCCTCCTCCTGGTACTCTCCCCCCCCCTCCTCCTCCTCCTCCTCGTCCTCGTCCTCCTCCTCCTCCTCCTCCTCCTCTCCTCCTCCCTCCTCCTCCTCCTCCTCCTGGTACTCCTCCCCCTCCCCTCCTCCTCCTCCTCCCTCCTCTTCCTGGTCGTCCTCCTCCTCCTGGTCGTCCTCCTCCTCCTGCTCGTCCTCCTCCTCCTCCTGCTCGTCCTTCTTCTCCTGCTCCTCCTGCTCCTCGTCCTGCTCCTGCTCGTCCTCGTCCTCCTGGTCTTGCTCGTCCTCCTCCTCGTCGTGCTCTTGCCCCTGCTGAAAATGTGGCCCAGGAATGGGAGTTCTGGGAAGTCGAAGAGCACAAAGTTGCCTACAGTTGGCTACGGGCATTCAAAATGTGGCCCGGGAATGGAGTTCTGGGAACTCGAAGAGCACGAAGTGGCCTACAGTTGGCTCCGGGCATTCAAAATGTGGCCCGGGAATGGAGTTCTGGGAACTCGAAGACCACGAAGTGGCCTACAGTTGGCTCCGGGCATTCAAAATGTGGCCCGGGAATGGAGTTCTGGGAACTCGAAGAGCACGAAGTGGCCTACAGTTGGCTCCGGGCATCCAAAATGTGGCCCGGGAATGGAGTTCTGGGAAGTCGAAGAGCACGAAGTGGCCTACAGTTGGCTCCGGGCATTCAGAATGTGGCCCGGGAATGGAGTTCTGGGAACTCGAAGAGCACGAAGTGTGTGACTGTTGCATCCGGCCCTCCAGAATGTGGCCCGGGAATGGCGTTCTGGGATCTCGAAGAGCACGAAGTGTGTGACTGTTGCATCCGGTTATTCAGAATGAGCCTGGGAATGGAGTTCTGGGAAGTCGAAGAGCACGAAGTGTGTGACTGTTGGTGAAAAACGAGTTCGGCACAGGCCCGCCCGGCAACTCCCAACACCTGCCCGGACCCCCCTGTGGAGTGATCTGTGACCTCTTTTGACACTACTAGAAACCTATCAGTCTTCGCTGTTAGGTAAAAAATCTTCCATGACGGCTCCAGATGGCCTCCAAGATCCTAGATGGCCACGTGTTGGCCCAAGATGGGCTCCAAGATGGCCCAAGGTGGCCTCCAAGTCGCCGTGGGCGTCTTCGATCCGCCGCCCCCTGCTGATGTATCACAGGGGTCGTGCTGAACTTCTTACGGTTTGGTTCTGGCTCTTTGTCCAAAAGAACTCCCTCTCGGGCCTCCAGAAGGCCCGTCCTGCCGGCCACCCTGAAGGGGCGGAAACGAGCATAACGTGTAACAAACTCCCTCAGGCGGCTCAAGATGGCTTCTGAGATGGTCACGTCAGCCCAAGATGGCCTCCAGGATGGCCCAAGATGGTCCGAGTTGCCTCCAAGTCCGCCGAAGATGGCCCAAGACGACCCCAGACAGTCCAAGAGGCCCCCAAGAGGTCTCCAAGACGGTCCAGGAGGCCTTCAAGGGGGCTTCCAGGAAGACCCGAAGAGGCCAGAATCATTTCTGTTCGGCCTTCCGACGGCCCGAGACGGCCCAAGAGCCCCCAAAGATCGCCCTAGGATCGCCCAAGAGGCCTCCAAGATGGAGCCAGAACGGCCCAAGAGGCCCCAAGAAGCCCAAGATGGCCCAAGAGGCCTTCAAGACGTCCAAGATGGCCTCCAGGACGGCCCTGGAGCACCCAAAGAGGGCCCCCAAGACGGCTTGCGACGGCGTCAGACGGGCCAGGAGGCCACCAAGACGGCCCAAGATGGCTCCAAGATGGCCCAAGACGGTCCAAGAGACCCCCAAGAGGTCTCCAAGACAGCCCCAGAGGATTTCAAGGGGGCCTCCAGGAAGGCCCGAAGAGGCCGAAACCAATTGTTGTCCGTAGGTTGCTATGTTGATTTGCGGTGTTCATGTCTGAGAAAAGTTCTTCTGGCACGATTTAGCATAGCCGGGTCGCATCAGTAACGTTGATTCGAGGCATTTGGGTCCTATGGTGACCTGGCATGTTGAAGATGTTCATACGGCTGTCTCCCAAGGGGGCTCTCCCCGCAGTGAAAAGAAATCCTTCCAGGAGCCTGTGAGGAGGGAACGTGGAGGGAAAGCCGATTGCAACATCGGTGATGAACGGCCATCCTGACGGCCTAAGGAATTTGTCTTCGGCGTGTCCGTCTGGTTGACCGCACCGGGGGTCGCCACGGCAGGATCCGCCAGGAAATTCGGCAGGGAAGCCTCGACCGTGAGCCTGCTCACAGTCCGGAGCTTGCTTCGGCGAGCCACGTGCCTGGAGGGCGAGGAGCGGGTCGTGGTCGCGGTCTCGCCAGGGGCGGGGGGAGGGGAGGAATTAGGCTGTCTGCAACGCTCCCGCTGAGTCCGGGCCCCCCGCACGGCGCCCGCAGCGGCGCTGTGTGGGGGCGCTCGGCGGGGCAGCGCGGGAGCTGGGCCCGACAGGGGGGCCGCCAACCGAGCCAAGGCGTTCGCTTTCAAAGCAAGGTGGTGCCAGCCAGTTTTTCACTCCCGGGCCTGCCAAGAGCTCAAAGAGCTCCCGAACGTAAGCGAGCACCAGCGCTGCCGCAAGCTGATTCTGACTATGACACTCATCCTCCTCCTCCTCCTCCTCCTCCTCCTCCTCCTCCTCCTCCTCCTCCTCCTCCTCCTCCTCCTGTGGCGGCCCTTCGAGACATTCCTGGCAGCCGCTGGAAAACATCCGTCCCGAGGAAAGAAAAACCCCAAGAACCGACGAAAATGCCCGTAACCTCCCAAGGCGACCACGACGAAAACGTTCCAACTTACGTAACGTTATTCCTAAGCATGTCGGGGGGTCTGGGCGGGACGGAGGTGCGAGACGGGACTTCATCCATGACCACCGCCTGGGGGATCGATCTTCGGGAACCACTACAACGTATCAGGCAACGGATGTGGACACATTTCCGCCCCAGGGCCCAAACATCTCTACATACACCGCCCGCCGAGACCCACGAAGATCGACCCCCCAGGCGGTGGCTGTGGAGAAACCCACGCCTCGGATCGGGCTCACGCTCAACTCTTTAGGCATCCGAGGACCTGGCGCGTTGGCGACAGGGGAGGGGGAGGAGGAGGAGGAGGAGGAGGAGGAGGAGGAGGGGAGAGGAGGAGGAGAGGAGGAGGAGGAGGAGGAGGAGGAGGAGGAGGAGGAGGAGGATGAGGAGGAGGAGGAGGATGGAGGAGGAGGAGGAGGGGAGGAGGAGGGGAGGAGGAGGAGGAGGAGGAGGAGGAGGAGGAGTAGGAGGAGGAGGAGGAGGAGGGAGGAGGGGAGGAGGAGGAGGAGAGGGGGAGGAGTAGGTAGGGGAGAGGCCCCCGCTAGGAAGCCCGTGCAAGAGTGACCCACGGTGCGCGGCCATGGGGGGGCCCGCTGGGGGCCCGACTCCGCCGGGCAGGCCGCTGCGGCCGCACCGCATCGACCCTCGGCAAGTCGCGCCTCAAAAAACCCGCGGCGACGGCGGGACACTGCGGAAGTCCGCCAGTTCGACGTGGGCACCCCGAGTGTAGGAACCAGGGAAGGCGACACCAACACCAGCAGGGCGAGGAGGTGCGAGGAGGCAAGGGGGGTCTGCCTGGTGGTGTGCTGCCTGGTGGTGCGGTCCACCCCCCCTCTCGCTCGAGACCTCCAGCTCGGGGAGGCCTCGTGGAACCTTTGCTGGAGGTGGGCCCCCTGGTGGTGTTGGTGTTGCTTCCGCTTCCTCCGAGAGTGGCACCCCGACGGCGCTGCACAAGCAGACGCTGCCGGGCGCCACCGCGAGGCCTGGGCTAGGCGGGGGCGCCGGATCCACGGGGCCCGGAAAGCGGCCCCGAAGCGTGCAGCCAGTGCCGCCCGGACCCCCGGCGGACGGCGGTCTTCTTGGCCATGGTGTTCTCAAAGTAGCCAGCAGCGAACGCAAGGCAGCCGCCTCCGCCGGCGGGGCCCTCCTCCTCCCCCTCCCCCTCCCCCTCCCCTCCTCCTCCTCCTCCTCCTCCTCCTCCTCCTCCTCCTCCTCCTCCTCCTCCTCCTCCTCCTCCTCCTCCTCCTCCTCCTCCTCCTCCTCCTCCTCCTCGGAAAACCGCCGAAATACAACGAACACGTCCGACGACCTCCGCCGACGAGCGGTTGAGGGAGGGGAGGCCTCCATGACCACTGGCGAAGGGGAGCTTTCTAGGGGGACTGGTTCAGTGGAGATAGGGGGGCTACCTGATTCTGGTGGCTTGAACCGAGATGGGTACGTCTTAAATCTATCGCTTCCGTGTTTTGCAGGGCAGCGCCTATGCGAATATCATTGCTGTGACCATGCTTCCTCGGCGCAGGAAGGATATCATGAGGAAAGTGAAGTTCACTCAACTCTCGTTGGTGTTCACCATGTCAAACTCAGTGAAATGATCCTTGATGCTGCTGTCCCTGTTGATGATCGACTGGTTCTGCTGTTTCTTCTTCTTCCCGTCCCAGGACAGGTTGATAACTCCTGTCGCGACGTACTTCCCAAGCTTGGGAAACGTATCGACATTGGTCAACCCGCCGACGACCTTCAGAACACCTGGCCAGTGATGAAATCGTTGAATTCGCGCGCTGGCACGGACTTCTCGTGAAGAGAGAGCACGCACAATCTCTGAGTTCTGTCGGGCAGAATAATGGCCAGAGCACTGGGGGCGTCTACGAGGCCAGGCACTGGTTCGACGCACTCGGGACCGCACCTGCCCACGAGCTCGGCGGGAATGTCGAACGAACTGGAAAGGGTCGCGCAAGCGTCGCCACACTGGCAGGAGGCATGATGCACATATCTCTCTTCGCGGATGCCCAGGCCCGACTTCGCGGAGATCTGCGCCGACGTGCCAGACGCGAGGCCACGTGGAACTGCGGAGGAGACGTCCCAGAATTCCACGCGGAAAGCATCGCTACCCTGCGCCAGCGAGATCGACGCGCGCTGACTGATGTGAGCCGCCGTCAAAACCATGACGACTGACGGTGCACGTTTAGTTGTCTTGAATCTACGCCCACACAATCCTGACCTCAATACCAATTTGTCCTGCCGCATCCATCGCCGCACCCGACCTGGTTCAATGAAACTGTTGAACGCGCAAGGCGAAATCGAAAATAGCCGCGCTGAACGTCGGAGCTGGTCGCTCGGCGACCAACCGGAGCAATAAAGCCCCATCGCTTTGCAAAGCCATCCGCAACAATGGCAAGTTCCGCCTGCATAGCTCGACATGCTTCTGTCGCCCAAGGAAAAAATCGATGTAGAAACATCAAGGCCCACCTGGACGATGCGAAACACACGTGCTTCGAAACAAAAGGAGGTCCGTTATCGTGATGCTTGTTTGCGCCACTTTCGCGCCACATGGCTGGCGCCCTGGCGCAACTGCTGGAGCCCGTTGGTCGTCGCGGCTAAGGGGCGCGTAGCCCGCGGCCGCAGGCGATGAGATGCAAAGAAGACGAAGAAACCGACGAGGCATTCGAATCCCCCCCTGGCGCCAGCACCATTTCACCTGGCCGATCAGGCGCGCGCTCATCCATCGTCCGCTCAATCGTCTTCAAGCCGATTGTTCTTATGAACGGGCCCCACACTGCCAGCAGCGCCTCATAGGGAGGCGCACGTCTGAAGCCTGGATGGGGCGGAGCACGCCCAGAACAATGTTCGCGCCGGCTCCACGCTGCCAGGCGCGCCCATGGTCTGACGCGCGACGGCCCCCGCGCCGACGCGACTCCGAAAGATTGGTCGCGCATGCTGCCTGGAAATTGACCCTGCGCGGAAAGGCCGCCCGCGGCCCGCCCGCGCGCCAGCCCAACGCACCCCCCGCCATCTTCGCGAGGTCGAGGCTGTCCGAGCTGGACCGCTGCACGCGTCGGCTGGCGTCGGCGAGGTCGGTCGATGAGCTGGACCCGGCGGCAACGATTGCTGACGCGGCACGATGACGGGAGACGCCGACATCCGCGCTCGCCCCCCAGAACCCCGGCAGCCGGCGCCCGGAGTGCCGCATCGCCCGGCAGAGGATTCTCGGGCCTCTCCATCACGCGCCCCAGTCCTCTCGCGAAGTTCCGATTGGAGACTCGCTAATACTCGCCGGCTCTGGGCTGCAAGAAACCGCAATGGAGCCGCCAATTTTGGCGATGGCATGTCGCGCGCCCAAGCGCCTCGACAAAGAACAAACCTTTGTGTCCGATGTTTCCGCGAGCGCAAGACCATCGGTGCGTCGTCGCAATTGCCCTCGCGACTACCGATGCTGGAGACGTCGGCGTCGTCGATGGGCCGATGGCCATTCCGCGGAGTCGGCGTCTCCTCGGGGGCAAAGATGAGGAAGTAGTGTTCGTGCAAATCCTCGCCGACAGTTCTGCCGGCGTCGCCGTTGCCCACGAGCATGGGTTCCCGACTGACGCGGCGCAAACGTCGCCAGAGAATCCGCGCCGCCCGCATGTCGCGCGACAGCGGCGGCGGAGGACGCGCGACTCGAATGCCCGCGCAGCGCAAGGGACGGAATTAACACATCCTGGGTAAGAGTCCGCGGAACTGGAGGATACTCGATGACGTCGAGAGGCCCCATATCCGAACTGCCCTGTCCATCCGAAATCTCCGATGCGAGCAGCACACTTGGTGGGCTGCGCTCGACCATGACGGACAGCTGAGCCAAGGCATCGGGAGCGCTCGCGCTGCCCAGGCAGGCGCCGCTGGGCCGCGCGCAGAAACCAAGAGCGCAATGGCTGGATTGCCGCGGCCGGAAAATGCCGCCCAGGAAACATGGACGGCTGGTCTCCGTGGATCACGATCGCGGCGCCGAGGTCCTTGGGAATGGATGTGAATGCGGCGCGGCCTCGCCATCCATCGAATTCCGCGAGCTCTGGGGCTCTCCAGATTTCTACGCTGTCGCGAGGCGCTAGGTCGTTGAACCACTAGGAACACAGCTGACGCCGCCAAGCATTCGCCGCGCGCGCTAGACGCTCCTCAACGATAGCCAACAACGCGTTCGCCTCGACAATCAATCGCCCGGGGCCCGAGATCAAGGATCGCAAGCGCCCTTTGGCATGCAACCGGACAAACCTTCAGCAGGCACTGGGGCACCATAGTTCCAGGCAAGATTGCCCGCCGCAGCTGCTTCGCCGACAACATCTGCGTCGCCGATGCGACTGACTGAGACCTTGCGCGCGGCAGTCGGCCTTGGCCTTGAGAGCCAGGGACTGGATGATTAAAATATCTCGCTGGGCAAGCCCTAGCGCGAGCGCGCGCTGCTGCAACGGCAAATCCTCGCTCGACATTGCACCGATCGCACAATAATTCCGCCATGTCAGTTGCGATCGCCTCCGTCCTGATCGACGCCCAGGGCCCCCATGGGGAATGACATCTTGGCCCCTGGGCCCGCGCGGCCCTCGATGATGACGGCCGGCATCTTGCTGCGCAATCGCACTTCGGAGCTGAACCGAAGGCATTATTCGACTCAAGACAACACGTTTTCCGAATGGGTCGAACCACTCGCTCTGCACACAACGACTGCAGCGCGTTGGCAGGTGGCCCTCGACCACGCGACGGCCCGAGACTCATTCGCCTTCGGAAGATCTCGCATCGTTGACTGACGCCCAGACATATTCTCAACATTGCTGGAGGTAACTCATGCGCCAGGCAGACGCGCTCGCAGTCGGCACCGGTTGCGAGATAAAGTTTCAGACGTAGGCGGACTGACAACTTCAGCCGCGCTATCGCTCATTATCACTGCGCGGAAAATGATGTCGAAATTTAAGCCGCGTCGCTTTGAGCTCCAGAAACGTGGGATCACCCACCTGCCGCTCGCCTCGAAACGCGCGGTGAAACCTCCGACATCTCGAATGTCAGGTGCTGGCGCAGGTGGGCGCAGTGCCCCCGCTGCTGCTGGCGGCTCGGTTGCTGGCGGAGGTATCCAGGTAGGCGGTGCATTCAAGCCGCGGTCGCATAGCCCCGCCGGCAGCGCCGCTGAGGGCACCGCCGCAGGCGTCGCCCCCAAGCCTTCAGCACCCAGTCCGGTAGGTGTTTCTGGAGGAGCCACTGGCAGCATAGTAGGCACGGCAGGCTTGAACCTGACCGCCCGCATCCGCGCGCGCGGCGCACCCAAGAAGCATTCCCTAACATGCAGGGCGTCCGCGTTCAATGCGACAGTTGAGACGCCTGATGTTGATGTTGCACCACGTCGCAGCGAACCGCCTCCTCCTCCTCCTCCTCCTCCTCCTCCTCCTCCTCCTCCTCCTCCTCCTCCTCCTCCTCCTCCTCCTCCTCCTCCTCCTCCTCTTCCTGTCCCGCTTTCCCCTCGTCCTCCTCCTCCACTTTGCATTTAGGTCGCTCCGCGACAACCTCCTCCTCCTCCTCTCCTCCTCCTCCTCCTCCTCCTCCTCCTCCTCCTCCTCCTCCTCCTCCTCCTCCTCCTCCCCACCTCCTCCTCCTCCTCCTCCTCCTCCTCCTCCTCCTCCTCCTCCTCCTCCTCCTCCCCACTCCTCCTCCTCCTCCTCCTACTCCTCCTCCTCCTCCTCATCCTCCTCCTCTTCCTGTCCGCGTTCCCCTCATCCTCATCCTCCTCCTCCGCTTTGCATTATGGTCGCTCCGCGACA